GGGCGTGGCTATCTCCCAAGTGGGCGTGTCTTTGCCTCAAGGCCCTATCAGTCACAGCAGTGGGCGTGGCTATCTCCCAAGTGGGCGTGTCTTTGAGCCAGAGCCCCTATCAGTCACAGCAGTGGGCGTGGCTATCTCTCAAGTGGGCGTGTCTTTGCCCCAAAGCCCTATCAGTAACAGCGATGGGCGTGGCTACGTCAGAGGGGGCGTGTCCTCGCGTCAAGCCCCGCCCCGCCCCGTTCCCTCCCGCCCCAAGATGGCGGCCGCCATGCCGCCCCCCGCCCGCGCCGCCGCCGCCGCCGCCGCCGCCCGGGGCTCTCCCGTCGCTCTTTAACGGCGCCGCCGCGCCCGGGGCTTTCCCCGCGGGGCCTCCCCCAGCGCTTCCGGCCCCGCCGCGGCCATGGAGGGGCCGGGCGCGGCGGCGGCGGCGGCGGCGGCGGGCCCCGGGCCCAGCAACGTGCCCGCGTTCCTGAGCAAGCTGTGGACGCTGGTGGAGGACCCCGAGACGGACGCGCTGATCTGCTGGAGCCCGGTGAGAGCCCGCGGCCGCCCGGGGCCGCTCCCGGGGAGCGCCGCCCGCCGAGGCCCGGCCCGGGCCCGCGGGCCGCTCGGCCGCTTCCCGCGGGAAAACCGCCCCTTCCCGCCAAAAACTCCCGCTTTTCCCGCGGAATGGGCCCATCTTCCCGCGAAACATCCCGTTGTTCCCGGGAAAATCCCACTTGTCCCACGAAAAATCCCACTTTTCCTGGGAAAAAGGCCCTTATTCCCGCGAAAAATTCCGTTATTCCTGGGAAAATCCCACTTGTCCCACGAAAAATCCCACTTTTCCTGGGAAAAAGGCCCTTATTCCCGCGAAAAATTCCGTTATTCCCGGGAAAAGCCCCTTATTCCCGCAAAAAATCACGTAATTCCCACAAAAAATCCTCCTATCCCCTGGAAAAATGCCGTTATTCCCGCGAACATTCCAATTTTTCCCATAAATCTCCAGCTTTTCCCACATAAAATCCCACTTTCCCCAGGGAAAATCCAGTTATTCCTGGGAAAATCCCGTTATTCCCACGAAAAATCCAATTTTTCCCATAAAATTCCAGCTTTTCCCACATAAAATGCCACTTTCCCCAGGGAAAATCCCATTATTCCTGGGAAAATCCCGTTATTCCTGCGAAAAATCCAGTTTTTCCTTGAAAAACTCCAGCTTTACCAGAGTAAAATCCCTCTTTCCCCAGGGAAAATCCCACTTTCCCATTTTTTCCGGGAAAAATCCCATTATTTCCTGGAAAATCCCACTTTTCCCACAAAAAATTCCATTTTTCTTGAAGAAAATCCCACTTTTCCCCGGGAAAATCCCATTATTCTTGGGAAGATCCTGTTATTCCTGCAAAAAATCCAATTTTTCCCATAAAATTTCAGCTTTACCAACAAAAAATCCCATTTCCCCATGGAAAATCCCATTATTCCTGGGGAAAATCCTGTTATTCTAGGAAAATCCCCTTATTCCTGGAAAAATTCTACTTTTCCTGGGAAAAAAATCCATTTTTCCGACAAAAAATCCCACTTTTCCCAGGATAATCCCATTATTCCCACAGAAAATCCAGGTTTTCCCGGGAAAAATCTCATTATTCCCGCTAAAAACCCAATTTTCCTGTAAAATTCCAGCTTTTCCCAGGGAAAATCCCATTTTTCCTGCAAAAAAATTCCATTTTTCCTGCAAAAAAATCCCATTTTTCCCACAAAAAAATCCCATTTAAAAATCCAGAAAATTCCTTTAAAAATTCCTAAAAAAATCCCCCCAAATTCCCAAGAAATTCCCAAAAATTACCAAAAATCCCCCAGAAATTCCTTAAAAATATCCCAAAAGTCCCAAAAATTCCCATTTCATTCCCAATTTTCCATGTTTGACCAGGGCCGGTTCTCCCAAACATCCCCAAAATCCCCAAAAATCCCAAGAATTTCCTTAAAATTCCTCCAAAATTCCCGAAAAATGTCAAAAATATACCAAAACCCCCAAAAATTCCCAAAAAATACCTTAAAAAATCCCCCAGAAAATACGAAAAAAATGCAAAAAATCCCTTAAAACCCCTCAAAAAAGTCCCCAAAACCGCCCAAAATTGCCCCAAAATCCCCCACAATTCCCTAAAAAATCCCAACAATTCCAAGTTCCCCAGGAATTCCCGATTTTCCGTGTTTTTTTCCCAGAGCGGGAGCAGCTTCCACGTCTTTGACCAGGGCCAGTTCTCCAAGGAGGTTCTGCCCAAGTACTTCAAGCACAGCAACATGGCCAGCTTCGTCAGGCAGCTCAACATGTGTGAGTGGCAATTCCCAAAATTCCCAAATTCCCAAAAATTCCCAGAAATTCCGGAATTCTGGGCTGAAATTTGGGGCTTCTGGGGCTTTCCCAGGGCATTTTTGGGGATTTTTTTGGGATTTTTGGGGTTCCCGGAAGGATTTTGGGGCTTTGGGAATCGGCTTCGTCAGGCAGCTCAACATGTGTGAGTGAGAATTCCCAAAATTCCCAAAAATTCCCGGAAATTCAGGAATTTTGGGCTGAAATTTGGGGCTTCTGGGGCTTTTCCAGGGGATTTTTGGGGATTTTTTTGGGATTTTTGGGGTTCCTGGAAGGATTTTGGGGCTTTGGGAATCGGCTTCCCATTGTTTCCCATTATTCCTGGATTTTTTTCCCATTTTCCCCAGATTTTTCCCCCAGATTTTTCCCCCAGATTTTTCCCCATTTTTTCCCATTTTTCCATGGAAATTCCAGGATTTTTCCCATTTTTTCCTGGAATTTTCCCCTGGAAATTCTGGGATTTTTTTCCCGGTTTCCCGGGATTTTTCCCCATTTTTTTTCCCATTTTCCCCGAATTTCTCCTTTTATTTCCCATTTTCCCCTGGAAGTTCCTGGATTTCTCACCATTATTCCCAAATTTTTTCCCATTTTCTCCCCAAAATTCCCGTTTTTTCCCGTTTTTCCCATTTTTCCCCCATTTGCAGACGGATTCCGGAAGGTTCTGCACCTGGAGCAGGGCGGGCTGCTGCCACAATCCCGTTTTTACCCTTTTTATTCCCTTTTTATTCCCATTTTT